ACCCTCTCTGAGGGGCTTTTGCAGCCTCCTGGATTTTTGTTTGATCAGGTTTCTGAGGCATGGGCAGCATCCCAGGACACTATGCTCAGGATGAATGTCAGGACTACTCTAGCTAGTGACTTTGCATATACAAGTGGCTGCAGATCATTCTGCTCCCCTTCTCCAGGATAGTGCTTCAGCTGTCCTATTTTGCCCTGGAAAGAACTGCCATGAAGGACTTCCTTGTAAAAGAAGGTGAGGGTAACAACCCCCATCCCCCACATAGTCCTTTCTGAATATTGTGAAATCATCCTGAAGATCTACCCTGTAGATCCAGTGGCTTCAGGGACTTAGGCCAGCAACAGGTTTTTTGCCTAACCGATTCAGATTTATTGGAAAACATTTGTGATATACCAAATAATTTCTATTTAAGATCAAACACTTTGGGGAAGTGAAACTATTTTAGGTGATTGCTGGCAATGCAACATATAGGTGTTTCCTCTGAATTGGAGCTGCAGACAAAACAAGTTTTCATTTCCTATGCAGATACCGCATTCAAATCATTTCCCAGCTGTCTGCTCAGTGAAACTCACACATACATAAAAGGGGCTTTTTACAGTACCTTGAGAGCAGTTTGTTGCACAGATGATACATCCTCTGAGGGAGGTAGATGTAATTGTAAAGTAGATGAACTCTAGAAGTGAGCTCTGCTATGTTACAATAGCCATATGGGAACACTGCTGGTAACTCAGAAGCTGGTGAGGCCATGTCAGACCCTGCTAAAGATCTCTGAACTCAAAGGCCAAAGTTAAACCCAACAGCAGTTCAGAAGCTAAGAAACAATAAATAGAAGCTTTATTTTAATAAGGTAGCAAGTGCTTTCACTTCACTAAAGTAGCTTATTTTCTGCTTACCAAATAAATGTCATGTGGAGAATACAAAAGTACAGCAAAAATCAAGAGGGTTTGGGTGATACACATATATAATACACAGAAGTAATACGTGAAGTACATTATTAAGAAACATCTACATTGATACTATGAGAATAGACACAGTTATGAGATCAGCTCCAGTAAAAAATATTGCAGTAGTCTGAGAAAGCTTGAATACAAATATTAGCACAGAGACATTTATTTTCCAATTTGTCTCACAATCCTGTCATCCCATTTTGGAGTGAAAACTAACAAAAGACTGAAATTGAAGGGGTGGGACGGGTATTCAGGGGTGTTGGAAGTCTGTGCTGTGTCTCTCCTGCCAGCCCTTTGGACGGCAGGGGGGAAAGGAAGGCTCCTGGGAGCTGCAGTGGTGGACCAGAACATTCCTCCACTGAGGACATTCACCCCAAAAGCTCACACACGATCTGGGAATGAGGGATACATGCAGCTAGGTCCAGACAGACAAACTGCAGATCCAGCAGCAACACAGTATCTGCTGTGTGTCAGTATACCAAGATCTCCGTGCATCAGAGTGAGACTCATCAGTGTGGTACATCTAGAGATTCCCATCTGTAGCATGGTACATCGTACTCTTCACATTGAAAGTAAGTATCGCCTCTAGCTGATACCCACTAGAGCCAGGGAAGACTCTCATTTGCCTCTGGACCTTTATAAGTTTATTCATATCACTGATGAAAGCCTCAGCGCTGGAGACTTGCAGCTGCGGGATCTGCTCTCGATTCTGCAGTTCTGTTTTTCATTGTTTCAAGGAAAGATATGCCCACTTGAGCACATAATATTTCATGAAAGAAAAACTCAAAGCCCAAGTAAATATGCAGATTTTGTTAACCTTTCACCTGTGCAGTGGGCCCCAGGGAGGAGGACTGCAATGGAAGAGTAAATTACCCCACAAGAGTTCATTTTGTACCTGCCTGGTGCTTAAATTGGGGCTTTATCCGACTGGCTCTTTTCATAAGCAATGAGTTTTCAGATACAGGGACATTTTCCATCATATTTCCCTGGCTTTAGAGTATATGACATGCACTGTCTGTGTGGCTGAATAAGAGGTCATGACTGACCAGCTGGTAAGACAAAATGCATTTTTACACTAATGACAGGGTATTCTAGCTTTTGTTTCACATTACAATGACTGCATATTTACATAAACCCTACATCTGTTTAGCTAAATTAAGCCAGAGGGTGATGATCTTTGTCTTTACGAAAGAGCTGATTTAATTTTATTGAACATAGTTTTCCATTTAAAAGATCAAAGTCAGTGCAGCCCCCTGCAGCAGCAATTCAGTCTTATGCATTTCTTCAAATATTCAAAGAAAATAGAGGAACTGAGACTGAAAAGGCTAATGAATTTTAACAGACAACTAGCAATTATTCATTCCTTTTAAAAAAAGAGAAAAGTCTTTAGGGCCCTTTGTGTACTACAGGCTTGAACAAAGACATTTTTCCTTCTATCAAAGTCCCATGAAGTGTCCTGAGTCTCTTACCTCCAAACTGTCAGGCATTCGTAGTGGATGCAGCATGCACATTTTTAGGCATACCTCGAGAAGCAGATAATGCTATGGAGGGACTATGCAAAATAGGGATCAGTGCAAAAAAAAAAAAAAAAAAAAAAAACTGCAGAGTCATTGGCCTCTCCAGATATTACATGTTCGTTTCAGGAATCCAATACTTTCTGAAACATCGGTTTGTATATAAAGTTGCTTGATATCCCTAGGGAAAAAACATTAACTATCCTATGAAACTAAAAATAGATACATCATGTCTTCTGAAAGAGCCTGTATGTCATCTCCTAGCTTCTGACTACTGGGGAATTAGTCTTTGTCTTTCAAACGTCTACTTTCGTTGGGGGAAAGGGCTAAAACCAGCCCTATATTTCACTACTAAAGCATATTTGCTTAGAATAGTGGTTTAGATGCCTCTCAACCTAACAGCAGCATTTATTGCTCCCAGGACGGGGTGAGCAGCTGGGCTACCCCCCATTCTGTGTCAGGATGGGTCACAGCGAGCACCATGATTCGTTCTTCCCCCTGCCCCGTCTCCATGGGCACCATCTGAGGAAAGCCTGAGAGCAGGGGCAAAAAGGAGTGGTGGCATGTCCCAGATTAGCCTTCAATCTGGACATTGGGGAAACAGGACCCCAAGTCATGCTGTAGTGTTCACCTGGCCTGAGTTGATAAGCTCTTGACTTAATGAACTGTTTTGGCTCCAAGCAAACCTTTCCACTCCATCTGCACCACACAAAAGATTAGGGGTGCATCCACATTAGCATTTCAGTTCGGATCAGGGATGTGCTCCTTAAAGTGGTTTCTGAGCTCATCCTGCCTTTCCACACTTTGTTTTGCATTATGAAGCAGTTCTAGTGTGTGCGAACTGGACTCTGTCCAGATGAAACTAAACCAAAAGATACGGTCTAGGAGCATATTTAGTGTAATGCAGCTGCTAATGTGACGCCAGTCCATGAGACCAAATTACAGTTAGTCTAAAGTAAATCTCTGAAATACACGTAGGGCACACACTGGGTCTTCAGCGCCAGCTCTTCTGCTCTGCAGATCTGCCCTACTTGTTCCATACCATCTGCTAACATCGGCATAGCCCAAACAGGCTATGCATTTGTTTTTCTAACTCTGCCACTGCTTAAACGGGTGAGTAGTGCCATTTTAGGCACCATATGGTATCCCTGCAGGCCACCAGCTGCCACTGTATGGATGAACAGGTCACCCTAATGTCTTGTGTCATATCTGGCAGCCCTATGCAGACATCTTAGATACCATAGGGAAGTACTAAAATCCTTTGGGAGGACTAAACTGGCCCAGGATGTCTATGCTTGGGCAACTAATACCCTTTTATACAAGTTTCTATTCCTCCCTAGAAACCCCCTTCCTTCCCCAAAAGTAAATAAGGTTAAAGACAGAAAAAAACCTATTGATGTACTATGCTGAGTTCCAGAAAGTAAAATGAAATGATCTGTAAAATTACCCGATATAAAACTCTGGAAAGGTGGGGAGTTTTTCCTCCTAATAACTAAAAAGTACAAGAAGTTTTACCTCAGATCAATGAAAGTTTGCGTTATACTTCCAAGAAACGCTTCCATGTTACAAATAGTATTATTTATTCAGGAAGTGTTGGATTCACTGACTCCAACAGATCTACTGAGAAGCTTGAATTCAAATTTATCTATGTGTTGCTTTGCTGGTCTAAGACCCCCAAATGAGCTTAGACCCGTAGTGTCAGGATCTTTGCAGGATCGAATCCGAAAGCTACCTCTGTGCTAGCAATTAGAAAAACAGCAAATCAGTAAATTTACCGGAGTAGTAATAAATTAAACACATCATGGAATGGTCTGTGCTTTCAGGACAACTGACATAGTGCAGCCTTCACCTGGGCTAGTCGACTCCTGGCCTCAAATGTAGTTTGGCTGCAATTAAGTGGGGAAAATGGGAGCACTCCAGCTGCTGCCCATGCCCTGGGACTGCACGGGGGAGCCCAGCGCTCACAGGCCAGCGCTGGCTCACACGCGCTCCTCCCCGCTGAACACTCCTGCTCCAAAGCTGCGGAAAAATAGTTTCATTTACTAAGACATAGCCACATTCCCGAATCTTCACGGAATTATTTGGAGCCTCAGATACTTAACCAATAAAACCAAAATCCTGACCTCTTGTGGCCATTAAACTTCCCAGTAGAATAATTCATAACGCGAGGCACTGTTAGCAGGTGAAATTCTTGCTCACTGTAACACGCATTGCAGTCCCATGTCTGGAGGGGACTGCAGTTGACTATATTTCTTTTCACAGTAAATTGTGTATTCATGCTGCTTCTTTCCCACACGTGGCTGCGTTTCAGCAACCGGAACGAACCTCTCAATTTGTTATGCACCTTCTGAGAGCATTGGTAGTTTAAAAGAAATATTAGTCTTTTTAGACACTGGGGATAAAAATGTAGCAGAAATGTGAAGTGGATCACCTGCAACTACGTACTTCTACTCACACTACGTGTTGTGAATCGCAGTGCTACTGCTATACAGATCATAAGCCAAATACAACAGCACATTTTAACAATATGTACAAATTTATTACGTTAACAGCATATACTCAAAACTACTAATCAATACATTAATAAAATGTATTTAAATTAACAATATGATGTTTAGATTTTTTTCTTTCTACGCCCTTCCCCTCTTGCATATACGATTGGATATAGGAACCATAATTCTGAGTACATTTTTACTGACAGGATAGGTTCATAAGTAATTGTACTTGCTTGACATAAGAAAGTATAAGCAATATTTAAAACAAAAAGACATTTTATTTACGTTCTTTCTTGAACTGCTGTTCATATCTGATCTCACAAAGATTAGGCACATGTTTTGTTTTTTACTTAAGAGTAGTGATAATGAAACCAACATACATAAAATTAAGCCTTTGCAGAAATGAGGTCTTGATAGTTGCCTGCTTTCACATTCAGCACATGGGGGGGAAAAAAAAAGGTGAAATGGAGAGGTACAATCATTTTCATTGCTCAAATTTTCTACAGTTTTTCATTTCGTTGTCTCAAAGGAACAAAAATTCACACTAACAAGCTTATTAATCGGACAGAGAAAATGCTGTGCAGAAAAATATTTCAGTAATTATTTACCAAATGTTTTTAATTTCATGTTCCTCTCAGGTCTCTGTTTCTAGTACGTCAGCATTCTCCCTTTTCCCTCTGAAATGAATTGGTATTTCGTTTGCATGCATCAACAGGCTTGCCAATGGGCTTAGACACCTAAATGCTTACCGGCCCTTATTTACTACACAGTTTTTAGAGGATGCTCATAATAGCAGTGGCTGCTCATGCTCTGTTCCAGTAAACAACAAGGTTCTTTGTTCCTAAATGTTACAACCACTTTATTGGCTTCTTGCTGGATTACACTTCAGCATTTCCTTCTCCATCTAATATTCTTAACGCAATGCACTGAATTTTGGTACGCAGCAAGAGCAGGAGCTCTTTGTGATGATGCAACATGATGACAACTTGAAATGTCACCAAGGCAGGGAGCGCCATCATGTACCTGATACAACACTGTGGTATGTTTGTGGCTTTGCCAGGAATGCTGAACAACACAGGAGCTGTATTTTGCCCTATATGGAAAAGTATACTAGGCAACAGTGAAACAGATAACCTGCCAAGATTACTGCAGAGAGAGGGGGAAAAAAAAAAGATTCTTCCATGAAAAGAAACACATTGCAGTGTGTTTCAGGTAGCAGAAACAGGAGGACAATAAAAAGTGTCTTTAAGTGCTGTTATACAGAAGTTGTTTTCACAGGGCACAGTGTTTTTTAATTAGTTGTAACACTGTCTTGAGAACCTCTTCCTTGGAGGGGCTGGCATCAACCTCTTGGCATGCAGGATTCACCATCCTTCTGTATGACTCTTCAACTCTGTTTAAAAACAAAATAAGAGAAATGAAATCACAGATTGCAGGGATATGAAATGGCGTAATTAGTCGTCTGTCTCTGGAGAAAGTATTGGCACTGTGGAGACACAAAAAAAGTAATGTGAAGCTAAGAATATGTTGCTGTGCTCACTGATCTAAGCTTGGAGTCACTGGAGAACTGCAGAGAGGTTGCACCATTTAACCCTTTCCTATAATCAACTAACCTTCCATTTACCAACTCCTAATTTTTCATTTTTCAACTAGCTGTACATTTTCAACCAGCTGTTGAAACTGAAAATAGTATGAAAACCTGCTTGTTAGAGTAGAAACTTTCTCTCATAGCACAGAGCTCTCCCACAGTTAGCCTTTAAGGATGTGAATGAGCAATGAATAGCATTTTCTCTGTTCCCACAACACTTAATAATGTCAAACATTCGGGCCTCAAGTCATAAAAGCAGTTGAGCAAAACTCTGAATGTTCTCACGTCCAGGTTAACATAATTAAAAAGCAGAAATAACCAGAGGTTTTTGTAGAGGGAATAAGGAGTAGCAGAAATAAAATAATAACAATAATACTAAAAGATTCTTAAATGGCATTACGTTCCCTAGCTCACCCGTCCTTTTGCGGGTTCAACTGTGTGTTTCTGCACAGAGCTTATGTCAGAATTAAGCAACGGATATTTTTAAGGTATGTCATCTCTGGAAATGTTAAACCCTAGAGGTGGGTTTCAGCTTTGAGATTTGTAGGTGCAGGCACCTATATTCAAGCATCTGCATGGAAAAGTCTGCATGTGCACTAGGTGTCTCGGCTTCCACTGGAGACAATGATGATCTAATCAATATAGTCAAGGGAGCCTAGAGAGCAGTTCAGCTCACCCTGAAGCAGGATACCCAGTGTGCAATTTAGTTGCCTCAGTACATGTATCTAGTAATGCCTGAGATGCCCTAGAGCTTCTAGCTGCTGGCCCAGAAGGGGTCCATAGGTTGCATCACATTTGCCTGCCTCATGCAGATGTCTCATACCCCCGCGAGAGTATATGTTTACTCAGAATACTGCTGTGATATTCATGACTCATCAGGTGTCACATAATACCAAGCATGTCACATGGACATCAAAACGGAACCTGAGAAGGAGAAACAGCAATGCCAAAGACAGTATTTTCATTCTAAACTCCTCTGCAAGAGAAAGAAATTCTTCCCCTGCCGCTTTCAAACTTATTCAATGAGAAATGACAGAATTTACCCTTCTTGTCAGCCATGAATTCTTGAGGGAAAAAAAAAAAAACAAAACCCAAAGCCTAGATATATGGAAAACCATTCTCAATAATGTGAACAGAAGGATATTTTGCTACTGAGTCTGAAGGAGCTCAGATTCCTCCCACCCTCTTATTCCTCATTGAAGCGTACTTTTCGCGAAACAAGCTGTTAGCCTCCAGCTCAGCTTCCTCCTTTGTTTTCTCCAGCCCTCGACCCTGCAGCCGCCGGATCCTCTCTTCAGGGCTCAGAGTCAGGAGAAGAACAAGATCAGGCTTAAGCAGATCCTCAGGCCACTGGTACACCTCGTGGTGAGCTGGTGGAAGATCCTCGACTTTGCCATTTATTTCAGCGGCAATTGTATAGGCAACTGTGCTGTGCCAGTATCTGACAGGAAAATAGAAAATGGAGAGCAAATTTTTAAAAAGGACACTAATACTTCAGCAATAGAAAAGGCAGCTCTCTGTAGGATCATAAGTGCAATAACAGCTAGGTAGGTGACCCTGTCATTTTGAAGGGAACTGTAAAGAATGATTCTGTGTCATCAATTATTTCTTAAAATAGCAGTAATACTCAATAAAACATTTAGAATTACTGTGAACCGTTAATTAAAACATACACCAGAAGTTACATATTAGGCAAAGAGTGTTCCAAATACTTCTGCCAGACAACTTCTCATATAATGAGAGAGATCAAAATGAGAAAGAGTTACATTATATGTCCAAATCCAAACATCAAGCCCTTTTTTTGTGGTTCCAGTCATACCACTTTATGCAACAGATTTAGTAGAGAATATATAGATTTCAACCACATGTGAATGAAGATAGAACTTTATTAATGATCATGCATTTCACCTGTGTTTATCATTACAATCACTGTACAGAGGCACTGTATTTTATGTACTTTAGTGGTTTTGGTGCTGATTAAAAATAGCACCCACACACTTACAAACAGCTTCTGTGCATGTTTCTGGGGGAGAGGTACAGCATATCTACCAAAGTAAGTAAGGATTTTCAAACTGCATCCAGGCTTTCTTTATTAAGAATAATATTGAAAAGTTGTGTGCACAGTGAAAACAAGAAAAGACATAAATAAAACAAAACCAACAATAAAAGTCTTCTTCCTGTATTAGTGAGTAACAAGAACTCCCATTGAGCTCAAATATATGTACTTAATAAGTCCAAAAATGGCTTTTCATTCAGGTATACTGCTGGAGTCTGTTTTTGAAAGAATTCTGCCCCATTTAAAGCCACTAAAATGAGAGACTGCTTTTTTTTTTTTTTAACATGCTCAGTATCATCTACATCCATTGTAAAAGTAATATCTAGATGTTCAGAAGGGACTGACAGGTTAAAATGATAAAAAGATTGCTTTAAAAATAAAGGCTATCTGCTCTTCGGTAAATCTGATTTTTCGCATATAATGAAAAAAAGTAGAAAAAATGAATTAAAACAATATAGAAAAGATATTTTAACATAGGCTGACTTAGAAAAGACTTGTGAAATGAAAAATGGTGGTAAAAGAAGAGTCAGAAAAAAAGTATAATAATGTTTAACAGGTGACTCAAGGAAATAAATTGCAATAATCATACTTCTGAACAAACAAAACGGGCAAATTAGGTGGCTCTGTGTTCAAAGTGAGAAGCAGACTTCTGGCTTTTCATCCTGAAACAGTAAGTCTACCTAAAATTCAGTCACTCTGGTCCATCCACACTTCAAAGCCTTCTTAGAGGTAGTGCCCACCCTGTCGCCACCAGGCCGTGCTTTGGGTCAGCCTGCGCAGCACACACCTCCACTACTCCTGACTGAAGACGCAACACTTTGCATGTGCGCTAAAAACAGTTATGAGCAGTATAGGGACAAATCCACACTTCACTCCTACCATAGGTATTACTCTTCAGAAGACTTACATTTATCAGACTACCTGCAAAGCAGCACTCCCAAAGAGAAGAACCCCAGAGAGTATCATCGACAGGCTTTGCTTGCAACACTGAACGATTGGGTGATGGCACTGATATGAGAGGATTTTTTTAAACTTACAAACCTGTCTATGATCACAGGTGACTGAGTGGATGCTTTTGCTATTTCTGAAGCAAGAATGTAGTTGCCCGCAGCATAAAATGTCCTTCTAATGAGTGTCGGTTCATTATCAAATGTCGTCCTCCACTGGCTGATGCAAGCTGGCGGCGATCTTAACAGAACAGCATTCAGAGCATCCTTAACAGACTCGGTTACAGTGGTTTTGCCTGCATTTCATTTACAAAAGGAAACATTCATCATATTGCACATCAGATAAAACTGACATTTTTAAATTGGAAAATGCTCCTATCTTTTCGTTTGGAACATATGTTCTGACACCCAACTATGTAACTTGAGAATACTGTGATAAGGTTTCCAGCAGAAAATGAGTCTGATTCAAGGAATTATTACTCCACTTCCTATGCTAAGGCCTTCTCTCCTCCCTCTTGCCAGCTGTCTTATCTTTCCTCACTTGAAACGCATTATACATGCCAATTTCTCTATACCACCATTGCAGTATTTTTCTAGGTGACGTTCTCCTTGGATGTTGCCAAACATTAATTTTTATCATCGCACAGCTTACCTAATGCACTCTTTTGGAGGGGATTTTCAGTTCTTTTTGACTGGAAATACCGAAAGCAAAGTTGTTCAGAAGGCAACTAACTTTTTTTTCAGTGAAAAATTGCTACCAGTTTCTCAGACTATCATTACGTCACAGGTTTTCAGGGTTTTTGAATTCCTAAGCCTTGGGTGCGGATGAAAGTCTGGGCAATCACTATCTTCAACAACGTACCAGCTGCGATTCTCCATTCCCCTCGTGCTCTTACCTGTCCCATCCAGTCCCTCAATGACTATGACGGGAAAATCCCCCTTCTTTGGGTGCTGGGGACATTTCTCCAGTATCTCGAGCACAGCACTGGCCTCAGGGACTACCGATGCGCACTGTAAGGACAACACACATTCCTTCAAGCCCGCCTGCTACCTAGGTAAATGCCAAGCGATGCAACTGGAAACAGCCCGACCTCCGCGGTGGGGCGAGCAGCGCGGCGCCGACGGGCCGG